CTAATTCAATCATTGGTTTCACTTAAATCTATCAGAAGAAAGTTGATGAGTCATATTTAATCGATCATCACTTATCTAATAAACGTATAAACTATTCTATTAGAATTATAAATTTTTCTCACTTTCTTTCCATCGTGTTCAATTTCGCACGAAATAACACGTCCGTGGATTTTGTTCGTCACTGATGCTTAGAGCCCCGTTGCCGCGATGCCAACAGCCTTTTTCCCGACCTACGACCGTTTTATCTCTGCTCTCCGTGAACGTTAATAGTCTCAAGTATTCGAGGAATAACAATATGCTCCAACGGTCGCCACAAATTCGATCTCGTTTCAGTTGACCACCGTCCACGTTTCTGCGTGAAAACTGGGCCGAATAATCTGACAATTCACACGCGAGGCAATGAAAATACAACGTTTCGAATTCCGCCGTGAATTGAATTTTCTTAAATAACGCTCGCGCCCATAAAAATAAACGTTGCTCGAAAAACTTTATAGCTTTGAGAAAATAGAGAATAGCACAAATAGATATGTAGAAACGAAACTTGATACTTTTCTATACATACATATAGTGTATGATCTTGAACCTAACCTCTAAAAGTAACTTCCATGCACGTCGAATGTATTATAATAAATTTGTATTATAATAAATTGAATTTTTTTTCACACTTATTGTAATTTGTCAAAAACTTTGTAGATTTGAGAGAAGAAAATAAGAAATGACGGAACAAAATTTAATTAATGTATATTAGATAATCTTGGATCTATCGAAGCGAGGCTTAATTATATTTTTTTCCCGTATAAATTATATAATCTTGGATTTCATTTCTAAGTGTGATTCCACCTTCATTTATATAGTATTCTATATTATTATTAAGTTATATCGTTGGAATGTGCGAGGAAGGATATACAATTCTCAGCAAACAATAAATAACTAGAAAGAATCTAGCCTCAAAGGATATCTAATTTCCTAACCTCTTTTTGGAAATTTAGAATTCGTTCAGAATCATCGACGTCTCTTAACCTCGAAATAGTTCAAGGATAATGGTTGACCAGATCTCTTGACCCCATGATGATTCATAGGACTTGTTCGGATTATCAAGGCCCTTCAATCTCTCGAGAGATAGTTCGAGGCGTGCTTTATAGGTTTCAGATCAATGTTGACGAAGTTTCTTGATCTTGTAATCGTTTGAGATAAGCTCGACGAGCTTGAATCACCAAGAGATAAAGATAATTAATAAATGTTTTCAATCTCGTGAGATAATTGGAAATATATTTCACGATTTAAAATATTTATTTATTTATTTATTTATTTTAATTAATATTATAATAAATCTTTATTTATCTTTATTATTCTTATAGTTTTATTATAATTTTACTTTACAAATAAATTTTAAAAACATTTAAATGGAACATCAAGGTGTTAAAAAAATTTACAAAAAGACAAGAGTCATCGCTTGTTACGAGAAGACTTGCTTAGCCGATAAGAGCTCTAAACCAATAATATCGAAGCGCGAGGCTGCAATAAACGTGGCGCGAAATTTAAAACGGTATTCAAGCGCCGTGATAAAATAATATCGAGTTATTATCACCATATTCCGACGATTTCCACGAAACGTTGGTGTAAAATCTAAAATTGTGCAAAATGATATTACAGAATTGTAATATGCCATAATCATATCAATTAGTTGAGTTAGAATTAATTTACGAGACATTAACAAATTAGAATATTTAAATATTCAAATATTTTCTGATTTAAAAAATTATCACGTTTAAAATCGAAAATTTATTCGAATTTAAAATAAAAAAAAAAAAACTTTCGAAACTCGATGATTTCGAATAAAAAAAAATCTTTTAAAATATACAAGATAAATTATTGAAATTCCAGAAATCGTATATTTAATAAAATGTTCGAGTGAGTGTAAAATTTAAAATTGTGCGAAACGATTAGAATTTTAATATGATCAATTAAGAACGATTAATTAAATTAGAATTAACTGCAAAACATTAATGTTAAATCAAAATTATTTAAATATTTGAACACTTTCTAATTTAAAAAATAATTACAACTAGAAATCCTATATTAAAAATTCAGAATATCTCTGATAAAATAAAAAAATGTTCAAAAATTAATAATTTCAAATTTAAAGAAAAATCAATCAAAATCTCTCAAATCGCGCGATTCCGTTACAAAAATCGTATTGAGGAACCGAGAAGAACTACACGAAAACGATTAAAATTATTCTCTAACTTGAAAATATTCTTAAAAAATAATTCTCGATATAAAACCACGAATATTCCAATCCAATAATTTTTCCAAGGTATTTGAGGAAGGTCAACAGGATATCTAAAGAGAAAAAGAAAAAGAAAAAAAAAAGAAAAAGAAAAAAACGAAATGAAATTGATCGTAAAGTATCTTAATTAAGCATCGACGAAACGGTGAGATAAGAGGCCACGGTGCGGCTAAGAATGTGTTTATAATAATAATTCGATGGTAGAAACAGGCTGGTAGCCCGAGGTGGTTCCACGGTTGAGAAATCAATCATTTGCATACACATGCGTGCCATCCATTTACGCGAAAGATTACGTATCCTCTTGCGAAGACGATTGGATTTCAAAATCGGCTTCAAGATACCGGCTTATCGACAGCTTCGTAGTTGTGAAAATAACTATGCGGTAAAAATAATTATGGCGTCGGTTACGAATTGAAATATGGAAGATTTGCGAGATAACACGAATTCTTTTTCTCGTACGAATATTCCATTGCTTTGAAATATTTTCGATTCGATTCGTCGAGATGGAAAATTTTTTTCTCACTTTTCTGAATATTCATTTATTTGATATTCGCTTATCCTAATAGATTTTTTTCCTTTTAACTTGATTTTAATCATTACTTTTTACTATTTAAATATTTTTAACTAATAAACAAATTCGGAAAATTATTTATAGATAATTTAAATTTATTTTTTACGTTGAAAAAATAACTATAACGATTGTACCGGCAATGTATCTAATACAATATTAATCAAATCATTAGTTATATTAAAATGATATTATGCAAAATATCTTTTACATCTTCTGTAACAAAGTTTATTTAATATCGTATCATTTTTATCATTAGATGTATTAAAGAATCTCATCGATAAATATAAATTTGTTTCTTAATATTTAATTATATTTATATTTTTTTTTATTTTTTAATAATAATTTTATTCTTATAATTATGAGCTATAATCATACTCAATTGCTTTACCTAAGAAAATAAAAAAATAAATGTTTTATCGTTCAACAATGCTTAATTAAATGATTAAATGCTTTTAATAAGGAAAATTATTCATTAACTGGTTATATTAATGTATAATAATAATAAATGTGAAATAATGTGCAAAATCATATTGAATAGGGATAACGATCAAAATAATTAAGAAATCACTGTTTCTGCGTGATTTAAGCGAAAATAATATTGTATTTATTGAAAATATACTTGAAGTAGAAACTAATTTACATCGAATAAATTTATGATATTAAATATAGTTCTCTATTGTTTAATGAATTCGAACTCTTCACGATGCATCTAAAATAATTGCAAGATTCTATTGTGAAATAATAAGATTATGGCTAAGAACGATGAATCGTTCAAATATTATTGAATAATTACAAAGAAGGCAATTTTTTTGTTTTAAAATTAAAAAAATTAATTAAATCCTTAACAATGATGTAAAGAAATTTATCATTATATTTATTATAATTAAATAAATTTTCTGTCTTTTTTATTAAAGATAATAAATATGAAATAATATAATATTCAAATTATTAATGCAATAACGTTAAAAATAAACTATAATAATAAAATAAAATATCGGATAGTGAAAGCTTAAAAATGAGTTTAACGTAATAACCTTTGAATCGAATATTCGTATTGAAATAATGCAGCAACAGAATCCAAATTATATACGCATATTATCAAGACCGTTCATACTTGGAACCGTTCATAATTGGAAAATTTACATAAAGATAAATTGATCTTCAAACACCAATATTCGTTATAAACTTTATAAATATCACGCTTCCTTTTATGAAATTACTTAGCATTACTGTCACAAACCACGTGACAAAAAACACATCCAACATTTACGTAAATTGTTAAACGACGTTGCGATATTAGATATTTCCAATATGATCAATAAAATTAATCGTATAAATCCTCTAATTATTTCGAACGATTTATTTACAGCAAAACTATAATAATTATCGATTCAATAATTATCTGTGTGTTCATTGATCAGATCATTGATCGACAATTATATTAATATATTAAGTGATACTACAGAAATAGTTTATAAATAACAATAGCGGAAACAACGATTAAAGATTCTATTAAGTCTATTTATTAATTTTAATTCTGATTTAAATATTAATCTTCAATCGTCTTTTTTATTAATTTAATTTCAAAAAATCAATCTAAATTTTACTAAAACATCTACATGTTTTTTATAATTGTAAAATCTAAACTTTGATTATAACGTTTAGCAACATCAAATTAAAACTAGACTGTTAACTGTTAAACTAGATATAAGAACTAGTCGACAAGGATATGCTAAGAATATGTGAAAAAAAAGGAAGACTAACACATATGCAAACAACGCTGAAAAAAGAAGTCTTTGTATTAATTGTTTACGAGATAGAGAGAACCTATATAGTTTGCACCGATCAAACGTATATCCTTCCGCATACTCGACGAACCTCGTACAATAAGATTAATCGGCCCTTCTGTGTAAGCTTACGCAACGTTACGCGGTTCGGAAAGTAAAAGAAAGAGAGAAAGAGCGGGAACAACAATCAGAGACCAGAAGGCAGAAAGAATGACAGGCAAGTGGACGGATGCGGATGGGAAGGAAAATCAAGTCGCGAAAAAAAGATAGAAAGGGATAGAGAATATAAGAGAAAAGTAATAAGAGAGAATGAGCGAGAGAGAAACTGACGGGCAATAGAAGCATTACATACCGTCCACAAGGCATGACGTGTGGAATAAACAGAGGAGCGCCAGAGCGAGAAAACTCGCTATGCCGCCGTCGCACGCGCCTCTCATCTTCCTCCAACTTTTCGTCTCGTGATCGTCGTGGTCGTCGTTGTCGTCCCGTTGTCCACGGCCTCACTGTTCTCTCGCGAAAAAAATAATTTTCGCGAAAGTGGCCGTAGCTCAATGGCGACGACAGTAAACGGCGGCACGAGGATCGCGATCGACGTAGCCACGACGGTGTCTCGATGCCCGGAATATCATCTTCTTGTCGACGTGGGGCTAAGGCGAAGTTCCCCGTCGACGGAACACTTGTCACCGTTGATCGCCGCTCGCTCTCATGCGAGCACACACGCGTGCACAAACGGAACGCACAGTGGTTCTTCGTTACTCGCTTCTCGTGTTGTTTTTCCTTCGTTCCTCCTCGCGTCCCGCTCTCATCTCGTAACTCGTGGTATTCGCGCTAACGAGGTCCCTCCTTTTTCTCTTTTTTATCTCCCTCTCTCTTTTTGTTATTTGTCGTTTTCACGTTTAGCACGTCAATGATTGAACACAAACTACACAGTTTACACCACGAACAATCGACGGAAACGAAAGGTTATTTTTTTTTATGTTCGGTTACTTTACACGAAGAGCCTTGTTGCCCCTCGTCGTCTACACCGCGCAAGGCAAGCCGCCATTTTCCTACTGTGCTGATAGGCCCGGCCTATTATCCCTCTTGGCCAACAGAAAGAGAGATTTCACACGACAAGGAAAAAAGCAACAGCGAACAAAATGATTCACTGACAATTCGATGAATGGTTCGATCTCGCGCGAATCACGCGGCACCAACTCTTTGACATCATCGTTCAGCTTGTTAACGTAACCTCCAGAGTACTGTCACGCGGACCACTCGCGAATTTTCACGGCAAACGCAGAGCGACTCGTGCTGTTGCTACTGCTGCCGCTACTGCCGTCACCACCGCTGCTGCTGCCTCTGTTCCTGCAACCGGTAGTTCGTTCAGCGGCGCCATCGCTCTTCTGTGGCAGGGCTGTAAGTACCAGTATCGATACTATGAATTTTGAAATTTTTTTTTTAATTGCTGTCACTTTTTATACTGTATATGTAATTAAATCATAATTAAATTTTATTATAAATTATTAACTTACAGAAAATAATACCACAAGTTTAATAATATTCTTATTGTAGTTTTAATATTTTTAAATGTTATACAAACATAATAATTTGAAATTTATATTTTATGCAAAAATTGAAAATATTATAATATTTATTACTGTGTAAAAGAAATTTCAAAATCAAATAACTTTTTTAAATTTCATTCATTTGTAGATATAAAACACCGAAATATTTATTTAAAAATAATAAAATATTTTACTTTAGGAATATCAAAGGAATATACTATATACACTAACATAAACGAATAGTATCAAATTAAAAAATTTTCTATCAAATTTATTTATAATCTTGTAATATATAATTATAAAAGTAAAGGTATTGTTATTTGGAATAAATGAATACTAAATTATTTGCTTATATCAGTTTCTTATAATTACATACAATGAAAATAGTTTTTGTAAAATTATTTTGAATATTTTAATTTGCTAATTTCCTAATTTTTTTTTTTTTTTTTATAATGGTATTATTATACAGAACATTTTGATATCATATATCAAATATACGTATATTTAGTATATAATGTGATATACTAAATATAACATTGATATTATTGCTTTTTTTTCATTTCCTTTCTAATATTATTATTACAAAAAAATTATTTAACATTATAACATTACAATATAATTATAATTTTTGTAACAAAGCAAAAAAAACAATTTTTATAACTTCATTGCATTTTTAAAAATAATAATATCAAGAATGAATCATAACAATGAATCATTTATATCACTTGTATTACTTATAAATACTTCTAAATATTATATAAAGAAAATACATAATATATATTTAAAATCATGTGAGACTATAGGAAAAGTTTTCCAAAAATGCAATAAAGGAATATGGAAATACAAAAAGATAAAGTTATAATAATATTATACGTAATTAAAAACATGTTTTTAAAGTAGAGATTGAAAACGAGGAATCAAAATTATCCATAACAAACAATCGGAATTGTTTCAACCTCTGTTTTTGAATTAAAATATAACATATCACAATAATATATTAGTATCAAAGAGTATCATATTCGCAATATTTTTTCATACATAATATATATTGCACAAAAAAACGAAGGAATATTCGAAATCTGTTCCATTTTTTTTTTAAAATAGTATTATTTACTATTATATTCCATAAATGCCCATAATCGATAAATTCACAATAATACTTGCAGCATTAATAAAAAGTGATAAAAATAATACTACATTACGTATCGTCAATTAATGCGATAATTATTTGGATACTTAATATATAATATTAACTGCATATCAAATTAAATGTAAGAAATATATATAAATATTTGATTCAACTGACATTATTGATTATTACAAAAATCACGACAAGCAATCATGTATCATGCACGATACATTGTGTTTTCAAAACAATGTATTTGTTTCCGATTTTTTTAATCTTAAGTTTAAATCTTGTTAAAAAAAATGTAATCTTTTAAAATCTTGTAAACCTGTGTTTTCACAAATTTGAAAAAATTGAAAATTAATTTTAATTATTATTTTACAATGCCTTTGTAAAAGATAAGAAAATGCTTCAAGCTAAAGCAAACTTATCACGAATAAAAGTTCATAAATTTCCATAGAATCTAATTTATATCATTCACAAGATTTTAAAACCATTTATGACATTATAATTAAAACATATATGAAATTAAACATTTTTTCGTTTCTTTTTTTATGAATAACCTACGTGGTAAACATTATTATATCTGAGTTTGGCTTCCCCATGCTCTCGAAAGCACCGTCCTCGTAATTCTCTTACCAATAGTCTGTACGATAAAACCGATTTTTTGCAACTTATCATGATCTAATATTTTTCTTCCATCAAAAATGTATGCAGGTTTCATCATGTTAATATAAATTCGTTTATAATCTAGCTCCTGAATAAAAAAAAAAAAAAAGAAAAAAATCAAAATAATTAATAATTACTGTAAAATTACTGTAAAAATTACTTTACGCTTTAAATAATACGTTGTTACTAACCACAAACTCATCCCACTCGGTACATAAGACAATAGCGTGTGTACCTTTTGTAGCGCTGTAAGCATCTTTGTAGATACTAATTCTGCTTTTCACGTATTCCGGATCATTTGTTACGCTTGGATGCGTCAAATCCTCGATAATTTGACTTTCTTCGACCTTGGGCAGAAAAGAAGAAGAAAAAGATGATAAAAAAGAAAAAAAAATGATACATCAAACACATCTTTGATTTATATCGAGAAGATTCACCTTGGGATCATATATGTGGAGCACAGCGCCCTCGTCCAGCAGGGTCTTAGCAACGTGAATGGCCGGTGATTCACGCGTGTCACCGGTATTTTTCTTGAAGGCAAAACCGAGCATTGAGATCCTCTTGTCCGTAACGGTATTGAACAAAGACTCGATTACTTTCGCCGAGAATCTGGATTTTTGGTATTCGTTCATGTCTATCACTTGTTGCCAATAAGCGGCAACCTCTGGTAGATTCAGACATTCGCAAATGTACACCAGATTAAGAATATCCTTTTGAAAGCACGAGCCGCCGAATCCAACGGACGCGTGAAGAAACTTCGATCCTATTCGAGAGTCAAGGCCAACTGCCCGTGCAACCTCGGACACATCCGCGCCGGTCGCTTCACACACGGCCGAAAGGGAATTTATGCTCGATATACGTTGTGCCAAGAAAGCATTGGCGGCCTAAAAACGCGCAACAATTAATTCCAAATAATTGCGCAATTCGATTCGTACGATTCGATAAATATTAATTTAAGAGATAAACTTATAAATTAGAGGCTTGATTTACGTGAAAAATACGGAACGTGACGTTTACTTACGCAAACAAATTTTACAATCGCACTTATTTAAAATTTTGCAAATAACGATATGATATCTGATATAAAATATTATCTATAGTATTTGTTACAGCTGTAATAAAATATTCTTTTTTACCAGTTTTGATAATTCCGAGCTCCAAGTGTTTGTCGTTAAAATGTTTTTTCTTGGAATCCAATGCTCATAAACCTTGCACAATTCCTCGATGGCCGCCTGCCCTTCCGGCGAATCTTCACCACCGATTAAAACGCGATCTGCGTTCACGAGATCCTCAATGGCGGTTCCCTCCGCTAGGAATTCTGGATTCGATAAGATCTGGAAAAAAATATAAACTTTCCTGTTAATTCCGCTTTGCACAATTGCATCGATGATGTCAAAGGACGCGCAACAAATAGTAAAAAGGCTGGTTAGTTGGTTGTGAAAGAAAGAAAGGTCATATGATGATATATGACGAGTGAGTAACAATTAAAATGTCTCGTATTAGCAGACATAAAGTTAACAGTTTATTCAATCATGTAATATCAATTTTCAATAGTATATCAATAATGTGTTAATGATAAATACGAGAGAAATACGAATAATATCGCGTCGAATCTTTCTAGCGTTGAAAAAAAAAAAATTAATGGTAGATACATACGTTAAAAATTATCGTAGAGATACATATCGAATTTTTCCATTTGAAATCTATATATAAAAATAATTATGGAATGATATGTTTTAAGAAATATTCTCTTCGAAAACGTATTTATTTTTAATTATAACTTTTATATTTAAAAAAAAAAAAGATTAAATTATATTAGCATAACCTATAAATAGGAAGGAAAAAAAATATTAATCAACATGCGGAAAAGATGCATCTGGTATGCGTCTAAAAATAGCTGCAAAGGGTACCGTGTAATATTCTATTACGAGCAAGGAGAAACTGTAAATTTTCTTTGCTCTTATTTCACGATGATATTGAGTCCATTACACTATCTATCTATTCAATCTTTACTTCTAGAATACAACATGTATCAGAAGCCAGCCACGTGGCATTCGAGTCATTACTCTCACAAGACCATTAAATCTTCTCTACAGAGAGCAATGAGAAGAGAGAGAGAGAGAGAGAGAGAGAGAGAGAGAGAGAGAGAGAGAGAGAGAGAGAGAGAGAGAG